GAAACTGTTCCGGGGTGAGATCATAAGAAAATTCAAGTATTAGGCTTTTGGATGACTTTACACTTTCTTCTAGTTAGCTAAACACGCTGAATTATAAAAGATGCATTTGGAAATTTTGTAGTTTGTGTGGGCGGGCTATACAGTCAGCTCCATATGATTGGATAGGCCGCTGTCTTATCTTGCCTTGGTTATCATTGTTCTTCCCCTGTTATAATGGCTTCATTGATTAAGTTATTACTTGCAATTAGGTGTGTTGTCTGAGCTGGTCGGTTTAATTTCGAAGCTTTCATCGTCCTTCTGCACAACATCTTTAGAGTATAGTTTTAGCATGGAAATCGACTTCCGGTCACGAAGATAGTTACCGGGACACATAATTTTATCATTCATGGAGAATTTAAATCAGTTCATTTTATGCTAAAACTTGCGCTGAAGATGTTATCCAGAAAGACAACGAAAGCTTCACAAGTAAACCAACCAGCTCAGAGAACACACCTAATTGCAAATCATCCCCCTGAGCGACAAATCTTCTGTATTATTTCAAAAAGTTATAACTACTATTTATATTACGTCTATCTTAACTGTTCTTTTTCAATCGCCGACACATGGACCAAATGAACTTTTTTTCCATAAATACTGGAAATCATTATTGTGAGCTTATCAGCTTCACATATTACGTAATCATTCAATTTCACAATCTATTCCCTAATAAAACACACGAAATTGTAATTCTGATGACTTTAATTAACCTGTTGACCAGTAATAATAATAATAATAATTCGAAATCGGTTTGAACGAAGAATATGTGGGATATAACTCTATAAGACTGTGTCACTGACTGACTGACTGACTGGTTTCAACATAGAACTTTGCACCGATGTGCAGCAGTTCAAGTCACCACACTCCATGTAGCACACAAAGCAAGAGAAGAAAGTAAAAAGAAATGCAAAACAGAGACATTAAACAGAGATATATGGCAAAAGAACAGTAGTATAGGAGAACAATGTAGTTTTATTGGATATCATAAGTCACAAGGAGTGGAATCATCTGTGCCATCACTGAGAACGATGTCGATCCATATCACCGATTGGCTATGTCAGCATAAATTTGATATCCACTTTCTACAAAATGCGATAGGATTAAAATTGTTATGGATTTATTTGGATGGAAGATTTTATCATGAGCTGACATCAGCTAGAGAACCACTGGAAAACCTGAGAGTACTGGACAGCTGTTTCGTCCTGCTTTGGGACTCTTCAAGAGTACGCATCCTTTCTGAATCTTGGTGGTAAATAATCTCGAATTCGTAGACGAATTCCGGAGATCTGTTACTATCCTTCACTCCGAAATTAAAAGATGTTCTTACCTAATCTTAGCTCTTCGTTTTGCATATATTATTTTAAATATTCCTCTGGATGTAGGATTTGGCAGGTTCGTCTACAGATTCGAGGACACTTAACAACTCTACTTCTGAAAGGATTAAGTTAAATGCATGAAAGTTTGAATTTTTATCACAAGTGGCGGATTAGGTATATCACATTGACCCTAACGTACGCTTTAAGGTTTTAAGGGATTTTGATTGGCTGGAGGATTTCATCATGAGCTGACATCGGTTAGAGAACCATTGGAAAACCCGGTAGTAATGGACAGCTGTATCGTCAGCCTAGTTTTGTTCTCTTTAGCAGTACACACCCCGCCTTCTAACCAGAAGGGCTTGCTGAGGAGTCCCAAACCAGGACGAAACAGCTGTCGAGTACTCCCAGGTTCTCCAATGGCTCATCTCATTTATTTCACATATTGATTATTTCACGATGAAGTAATATTCACCTTTATATTGAATTTCACAATATTTTTTCAATTGCATTCAGGAGGTCAGCACGTTTGTCACACAAATAATGCCTATTTGTTTTGTCACCCTATAACTACTAATCTGTTATTCTACGTGAAAAAAATGTAACTGTCGTATAATCAGCTATTATTATAATGATGAAATAATCTGACGTGAATGAATTGTAAACAATATTTGGCGCTGAGCCCGACTTTTTAATTGATGATATGGCGATATTTTGCTCTCTATTTTAACCAGACATGAACTTATTTGTTTAATGGAACTTTTTATAAAATGGTTCATTAGACGGAAAGCTTTTTTTGCGTTAATCTATTTTGCTAATCATCATAAAATCAAATTGTGTTATGCGGCACTAATTTCAATTAAATACTAACTGCCTTAATGGTACTATAAGTCTATTGATGTTATGTTATTGATCCAAAATCGATAGTTTAATCCAAATTCAAACCGGTCTATGGTGGGATTTCCTATAAACTAGACTAGGCTACTCAAATGGTCTGACGGTAAGGCATAAACCTGGCGATATTATATTGGGTAATGGAATCAAGGATTCGCATTTCGTTTGAATCGAGACTTGTCACCTGGACTTGACTGCATTCCCAGTGAATGGTTGTTCTCCCACTGAAACTCACACTAAGCAGCTGTCGTCCCAAAATCTAACTCACAATCCACTATAGCCACGGGAGTCACTTATTGTTCAATGAGTTATTGAAGGTTGTTAAGTCCTTTCAGATTTCCTGGTAATAAGTGATGTTGGACAGAAATCCTCAGTATCCGTTAACATGGTTGCCCATAGTGCGGACGCTTTCACAGTGTCTGAAGATTGACTTTATGTGGTAACATTTTAATGCTTATCTTCGAATTCTAGTTCTTTTATAATGTTTCCGAATGATTTACAAACATGTCTAACGCTGTCAAATCTTAAATAATGACTACGTGAAACAGAAGATGATAGGATTAGGACTTTATAATTGTGTGAAATTATGTGAATTATACGGAATAAATAGATGCAATGTCTGAGTTCATGTAATCTTCTGAGGGTGAAAAAAAGTGCAGGGATAAAGCTGAGAAGACTCGATTAAAACCAAAATGGCAGTCAAGAAAAGTAATAATGATAAATTACGGATGCACATTTCGTCCCAGTTGGGACTCATCAGTTGGATGTAGCTGCATTGCCAGTATGTGGTGGTATTCCCTTTGAAACTCGAACCCAGTGCCCACAATTTCAAACTTCAAAGCGTTATTCACTAGACCTTTTGAGCCACGAGAGTCTCGGTGAGAATGGCACCATTCACTGAGGAATGCAGGTAAATCCAGTCAGATGACGAGTCCCAAATAAGACGAAATGTACATCCTGGATTCCACTGCTAGTCATCATCCACCAATTAAATTTGAATTACGTGCCCAGACATCGTCGAAGCGTCTGCACAAGAAGCCGACATGTCAACCTGAGAACGAGCACTTCGGTCCAATCAATTGACGGGAAAATCTAAAGTTCAATTAAATAATTACCCATTATTGTTTGATTAAAACAATCAATGTTTGCATGAATACATTTGCAAAGGTAACTGTTTTATTCAATTTAGGTAAAAGGGATAGTAAATGCATATAGGAGGACAATCATATTTATGAGATTACTGATATAAGAATTCCCTTCAGCCTTATTATGTCAGAAACTCACATATGTACATTTGTGACTGGTGCTACTGATTAGCATTTGTAAGTAGTACATTATTTGTGTGACCTTCTGCAAGAAGAATAACATTGAATAGCACAAGTACACGGATAAAGGAGCGATGAGGAGAAATTAAAGATTCTTATGAAAAAGTATAAAGAAAGCATGAAGGGAAGATGAAAGAAGGTTAATAGGAACAAATTATACAACTGGAAATGCTAATGTAAGGTTTCTGTATTTTGTCAGTTGGAAAAATAAACAATTCAGCTGGTGAATAGCTCTGTTTTCTGTTACTACACATACATACATTACATATTAGGAAGTCATTAAACGATGTCATCTTTTGTAGAAAATAAATATATTATCTCTCTTTAAAAATAAACAAATTTGGTGCATTATGTTCACCGAGAGATACACGCACGCACAAAATCTCATAGCTCATGCGCGTATTGGAATACTGCTGGAAGCCTCAGACCTCAGCTATTGGTTGTCTTATGTGGCCACCCCCAGAGCCTTTGAATTGATGTTTGGTCCAGAAGGCAGTGGGGCTGGGTTCACAAGGTTTCCGGTGAGTGAGACAGGCTCCTACACATTTAGATCCTTTCGTATTCTGGATCTCAGCTTAATTCTGAGAATCGGATGTTTTCGACATCTTTGAATACCAAAATATGAATGTACTCACATTTAGTTTAGGTCAACCTTTTCTTCTTCCGTTGATTGACTAGACGGAAATGTCCAACCTCTTTTGACATGTTGGTACCCAGTACGGACTCTTCGACGATGTCTAAAGATTAACATAGTGTTATATGGTGTGATGATGATTAGCAATGGAATCCAGGCTCTGCATTTCCTTCTACTTTGGACTAGTCATCTGGATGTATTCGCAATGCCCTATGAGCGGTGATATTCCCATTGATACTCGAAACTCAGCAGATGGTTTAGTAGATAACTGTTTGACGTTTGACACGATGGATGCTGGACTCCAGCTTCCGGGGAACGCCATCATTCACTAGGGACTGCAGGTACACCCAGATGACGAGTGCTAAACATGACGGAACGTGCATCCTGGATTCCGCTGCCAGTTACTATCTACCATGTAGCCACATTTAGTCTCTTATCAAATGATTTTTCTTTATTTCAGAATTTGACGTTTGTTACTATTGTAGCTTACTGTAAAAAATATTATGGTTCAGTTGTAGAATGCTCGTAAACCACGCCAGAGGTCAGGGTTCGAAACCCAGCTGACACACTGCTAAACCTTGCCTAGCTGACAGTATGCCTGAAGAAGAGGGATGGTAGGGCTTTTTTGGGGCTACAAAGTTTGCATCTCTATGTTCCACCTGGAACACAAGGAATGAGGAAAAAACCTAATTTCCTAAACACTACATTTGTTATATGAGTTTTTATGAGGTATCGTGGGGTATGATAATTATTGGAAGCAGTGATGTGTATTTCTTTTTCTCTTGTTATTATTGACAGATGCCTGTTTCTCAGGAGGAAATTACTTCATTCACTAGTCGTTGGACTAACCGCAAACTATACACCCTCATGTTTGTCGTTTATACACCGGATGAATCAAATACAGAACGCCCATTGGTTATTAACGATTCAGGATGTGAAGTAGGCAATTCTTTAACTTCTTACTACAAATATTATGCTTTTATGGTTTTTTTGTTGCTTTTATTTTTATTGTTTTATATTTTTCCTCGCTCTGCGTTCTGAGTGGTACATAGGGTTTCAGCCGCACGTCTCCATTGCGTTCGGTTCTCTACCAAGGTGTTCATCACCTGGCTTCACATCCGCTCACATGCTTTCATCTCCCATTCGCATGATCTCTTCCTACATGTCACCCTCGCACTGATGACCGAGTAGCCGCTTCCCATTCGAGTTCTGCTGTATACCTAACCAAAACTTCTTTGAGCTGCTCACAGCCCCAGGGTGTCCCAACGACAGCATAAAGATAGTTGTTTGTGATAAAATCTGTGGTACTGTTTAGCAATAATGACATGAAATAGTCGAAACTACCTTAACAATGCTGTTATGCAGTTATACACATCAAAGAGTCCTTATGTACAAAACAAAACTACTGAGAATTAAGCAGAATGTTCCCAACAAAAGTTGGGATGAAACCTCTGTCAGTAAGAATCACACAGCAAACACTTCCTGCCGACAGTCCAAAGATCAAAATCTTCACGGCCAACCTTGACTTCATTCAAACTAAATCACAATCATCAAAACAACACATTATCAACACCACCACACAAGAACAAAGACAAAAAATAAGGATTAAATCAAAAGGTGAAATGCAAACGATGAAACAATGTTATACTGCCTTATAGAAGAGAGGGAAAGAAGTACAAAGTTAGTTGAAATATCTAAATAAATGTCAACATTGTAAATAGACGGTTCAAGAGAGATTTTCCAAACAATTTCTTAAGTGTAGTGCTAATTGATACATGTGTAATTTGTTAAGACATTTAATCAAAATATATAAATGCATGAAGTTAATAATTTATAGTTATCTTTTTTATACAAGTGTATAATTCAGTAATGAAATTTGTTATGAAGGGTCGTCGTTTAGAGAGAACGACTGGAAATTAAGGAACACTGAACATTCGTTTTTTACCAGTGTCAAGGTCTTTCTTTAACAGGTTATCAGATATATGGAACATTGCTTCCTCATGGTGTTGGGACTGTTGGGAGAAAATAGTTGTCCAGCGCACAGCCACTGTGAACTTATTTGAATTCCCTATTGTCTTTGGCTTTGAAAAGAAACATTGTGTTCGGTACTTTTTTGTCACGCCTTTTATTATCTCTATTACATCTTCAACCAATTTATATCTGTCAATTTCCTACAATATTTGGAACTATGCAATCCAAATGATTCTCATACTCCTTAGCAGATAGTTTGTAATTTCTGTGAAGTTGACGTAGATAAACCTGTAGTATGTTTGGGTCAGTCTCTTGCAATGGTGCCCAGCCAACGTCCGTCTCAGTCAGTGCTCAGTAAAGTGTTGACACTATTATCAGGGTTGACATGCTGGTGTCTAGGGAGGTAATTCAAAGTAAAGGTAAGTTCCCGCAGAAGGTATTTCCATTGTGTCATCGCTATTCAGGTTCTCAGAATGTCTGAAGCCAGCGTAAGGCCCGGTGATCTGTGCGTACACCGAACAGTTACCCTAGCAGACAGTGGCGATAACAGTGTAGGAATATAACCAAGGTGAACATTTCTGTCATGGCGACTGAATATCGAGCTTGGCATCTGTCTAGACTATAGCTGGTGTATTTCGAATTCAGTGGTTTATCATATAAAAATCGGTCCAATTGTCGGTTTCGCGTTCTTAATGCATATGAAATGATTGTTTGGCTTGAGTGGTATTTTAGTTTTGTTGTAGTGTAATGAATGGCTTTGTGAAAGCCATTTAAATTACATAACCGACTTGGCTATCATTCATATTTTGAAATCTTGGTAAATACTTGGAATCGGGGTTATGAATCTTCTAGTATATCCTCCGTACTCTGGGCTCTAGATATTTTGGCTAAAGCTTTGTCTATTATTTGCGGCATGTTCAATATGGCTTTTTTGCATTAAATCTATGTATATGAGTGCTGAAACTTGATCCCCAGTTGACGGAGTTGAGAAATCTATGAACAGTAATAACAGAATCTTCGATATATACAGTTTTAATACTTGATTCTACGACCCAGAAAACACATGATTTAGAGAAGAGACTTTTCGACGGTTTCAGTGTAACAATCACAACCGTATGCATTTAGTTCCCTGATAGTGTTCAAGGGCTACTATATTTGTATACATACTAACTAGTGCGTCTGTGGCACTGCGGTTAGGACGCTTGCCGTCCATGCACATGGTCCGAGGTTCGATCTCTGGGCGACACACTCCTTTACCTCGCTAACCCAGAAATAAAAGCTGGTAAAGAGGAAAGGTTGAGCATGAGGCTATCAACCCCACCCTGTAAAAATAAACGCTGCTACAGAAACTTCAAGCCACTAGCTTGAAGCCCTATGTTCCACTGGGAAAGTGAAGGAATAAAAAACTAGTAGAACAGTTGTGAAGGTTAGTGGGCAGATACTAGAACTGAGTAATTTGTTTCTGTTGCCTAAGATTATGGCCTAACACTACATGCTACTGACTGATCGAAATGGGTAGTTAAACACCGCTGACATCAACCAGTAGCGCTTGCTAACCAGATCGAAGTGATCTAAGCGCCGATGATGATGTCAGCCCTCGAAACGAGCTTCGATCCGCTTGGCTAACAAGCGATACTGGTTGATGTGAGTGGTATCCAACTACTCATATGAATCGATCAGTAGTACATAGCATCGTCAGGCATATGTGTTTGCTTTCTATATTGCAATTTATATTACCAAGCATACCACATATTGTAATATGAATACTTTCGGTTTCCAAAGGAAACTGTATCCACACTTCACCATGAACTAACTGTAAGTTCTACATTGCTAGTTCGATTTATTATGCCTTAATATTTCAGCTACTAGTTTCTTTTTCAGTAGTTGATTAAGATTTTCAGAAATAGTGGTATAAGGTAGTAGAATATTGTTTTTCCTGAATGAATTTAAAACACGTAAAAATTGTGAAATAAAGCTATACTTAAGAGATTCACATGTTTCTTTAGGACTTGTAAGTTACATAATTCACATATATGCTTATTTATGGCAACATACATGCAAAGAATGTGTAGATAGTGATAGTAAATGAGTATTCTTTTAATGCAGTTTATGTTACGAGATGACATCAGTTAAAGAATCACTGATATATATATATATATATATATATAAGCTCACTATGTTTAGCTATTTGGTTCTAATCTGGGAATTATAAAGTTCAACATATGTGTACTTGATAAAATGTCTGTGATAAGTTGCAAATGCAATTATGAAAGAGTCGTAACATTCATAAAAATAAATATTGGAGTATATGATGCAGTTGACATGGTAAGAATAGTTAGAATTATGCAATGAAGGGAAACTTTATCCACATGGAGTATAGAAATTGTCCGGTACATGTTAAGCTTTCGATAAATGCATCTTTAGATTTAAGACCGTCCACTCGTTTAAACAAATTAACATCTTAAGAATGAGTAGTGTTAATGTGATTAAATGGATAGACGGGGCAGTCGAAAGATCCATTTGTCGAAAGGCAAATTGGAGCAGACTGTTCTTACACCTTGGTAAGTGTCTCCCAGTCTTGTGCAAAATGTATCTTGTCAGAACATTTGAAAGAAAAAACAAGAATTTCTTTGGATTTGCAGACTGGAGTATAAACTGAAGTTCCTTAGGGAGATACTTGTGAAAGTGTTTGTTCTGAAAGGTTTATGAATAAGTATTCTATAGAAAAGAAACTGGAGAAAATGTGTGAGGTGGTTCCGAAGAAGAGAGTTTGTAATTCAAAAGAAATAATTTCACTCAACTGATGTAACTGAAGGATATATTGAGAGGTATCTATGTGGTTGTGGCTGTGCCTGTATTTATAAACACAACCAAAAGGATAGTGAAAATTACAGTAAGAAGATAAGATATGGGGCTTCACCACACCGAACAGTGTATATTAATTTAGTGGCCTCAGAGAAAGGTGTCTGTGTGGTTTGGCAGCTGAAGACTTCCCTACATGCCTCTCAAGTATTCACAATGGAATCGCATGAAGATTGATTATACGTCATATACTGGTAGCTTACCGCATTATTGATATCAATAAAAGCTTTATGGTCATAAATAAGCAAACTGAAAGTTGATTACATCGGTTTAGTGAAAACGGGCTATTTGCCTAAATAAACCGGATCTTTGCTTATAGAAAAAGCTGTGTTCGAGTATTTGTCTTTGCGTATGCCTAGGATTTGTTCTGATAAATTTATGTTCAACGCAACTTGAAGAATGATTCAACAAATTACTTCGATTGGGCACTAGTCAGTGACTAGTGTAGTGTGTCTAGTCCTTTGATTTGGTGCAAACTGAATTATATCACTTAAGTTTGCAATGCGGCCAGCATTCTGGGTGGCTTGCCATCACGGTGCACTTTGAATTGTTAATATTAGGTGATTGGAGGCAGTCGGCAAGAAGCCATGAACCTGGTGCATTGGGTGACGTGGGTTTGGATCTCAGAAGGGGCATGAATTACTTCAAGCTTCCGGATACGCCTTGCTGACTAGTGAGTGCCAACTAGCACTAAATGTAGATCCAAATCTTCGATTGCCTGGAACCATCTAAGATTCAACAAATTGTCTATAGCGTTAGAATTCATATCTGTCTATGAGTATTCTACCTTTCTAAGCTGTTAAATTTAACGGGAGCAGAAGGGGAATGACAAGACCCAAGATGATAGATTGGAATACTTACTTCGGCTTGCAAAACTTCTTTTACTTGTTGTAGGCGCAATAACGTTTGAAATTAAGTCACGCGTAGATAAAGGCTATCCCGGTCCAGAACAAACAAGAAGCCGGTCACTGTTCCTACGGTACTATTAATAAACAAATCAATAATTATATATACAACAAACCTTAACGGTTTCAAGAGTACAAAACACAATGCTTAACAGAAAGCAAGGTACCGCTATCAGAGCGGAATAACGTTAAAGCCAAAAT